ATCCTGGGCTTTAACAGCAAAGGAGAGGTGCATGGGATCAGCGGGACCCAGTGGGGCTGACTCTGAGGAGGCCAGGGCGGAGTATAGACGAAGCACCAGGGAACAAGAGCAAGCTCTTTCCCTCTTAGGACGAAAATGGAGAGTCAGCTGAGCTCAACGGAAAGTGGTGCTCAGGGCTGAAAGGCAGGGCTCCCAGGGACTGGCTTAGGTCCTGGCATAAAGGGTTGAGGGCTTGCAGAGCACTGAGACCCTGGGTCCCGGGCCAGGTGGTGAATTACAGTGACTCTCGGACAGCAGAGGAGATCTGTGAGAGCAGCTCCAAGATGATCACCTTCATCGACCTGGCTGGCCACCACAAGTACCTGCATACCACCATCTTCGGCCTCACCTCCTACTGCCCCGACTGTGCCCTGCTCCTCGTCAGCGCCAACACAGGGATTGGTATGAGGTGTCAGTGGGGACAGGGCTGAAGGGAGGTACCACCTGTCCCTGCCCTGGGAGCCACACCAACATGCCTCCCCTCCCCCTTCTCTTGCTGCGTGCCCTCCTTCTGTGAGCAGCTGGCACTACGAGGGAGCATCTGGGGCTGGCGCTGGCCCTGAAAGTGCCCTTCTTCATTGTGGTCAGCAAGGTGGACCTGTGCGTCAAAACCACAGTGGAGAGGACAGTACGCCAGCTAGAGCGGGTCCTCAAGCAGCCTGGCTGCCATAAAGTCCCCATGCTGGTCACCTCTGAGGATGATGCTGTCACTGCTGCTCAGCAGTTCGCGCAGTCACCCAAGTAAGTGTGTCTTACCTGGAAGCCCTGATTCACAGGGAGGGCTGCATGGGGACCCCTCCGGGGCCAGGCCAGCTATGACCCAGTTCTGCGGCCTTTCCAGCTTGGGACTTCAGGAGTTCCTGTGAAGGGCTTTTGACCCCATCCCAAGCCTACCTGGAGATTTCCTGATGCTGGGGACCCTGGAGATGTTGCTGTTTCCCTTGGCTTCCCTGAGAAAAGCTCCCCTCTCCATGTGGGGCCTGGCCTCTATTTCCTGCCAGCCTTCCCTCCCCTGCCCCTTCTGTGCCTTCCCGTGCAGTGTCACCCCCATCTTCACGCTGTCCAGCGTGTCTGGGGAGAGTCTGGACCTCCTCAAAGTCTTCTTGAACATCCTGCCCCCGCTCACCAACAGCAAAGAGCAAGAAGAGCTCATGCAGCAGTTGACAGAATTCCAGGTAGCAGGCCCGGGGGCGAGGAGAGTTGCTGGACCTGCCAGCCCTACTGGGCAGGACAGTGACAGTTTTCTTGGCCCCAGGTGGATGAAATCTACACCGTACCAGAGGTGGGGACTGTCGTTGGAGGGACACTTTCCAGGTGAAGTGCCTTGTTTGCTACCCGCTCAGCCCTCTCGTAGCCCTGTACGCAGACGTCCTGGCCCGAAGGAGGAGCCCCTGGAGCTAAACAGCCCTCCTCAGAAATCCTTGCTTGGAGATTAGGCTTTCACTAGGGGAGAGCTGGAAGCTGGTCGCTTACCGCTGCCTCCCAGGACTCGCCAGGGCCCTGAGGGAGAAGTGTGGGTCATGGGCCACAGGAAGAAACCTAGAGTGCATTCAGTTGACCACGTCTCACATAGGGAACTGGGAAGAGGACTGCTGAAGCACAGGGTGAAACCCAAGGGGACCACTTGCTCCCTCAAGGACCAGGTGTTGGGTGTTACTAGGCCCATGGGTGCCCCACTGGCGCTGTCACTGAAGCCTCTTCTGGTGTCAGCCTTCAGAGTGAATACTGGGCCAGCCAGGCAGCCACCCATACCCGTGTCTGAATTAGGGCTCCTGTTTCCTACTTGAGGAACTCAGCCCCGGAAGGGAAAGCATGCTTGGGGTGACCCTAATGAAGCAGGCAGGGGACCCCAGGCTGACCCTGTGCCCTGCCCTCTGGGTTGCAGTGGGATCTGCCGCGAGGGCGACCAGCTGGTGGTGGGCCCCACTGACAATGGCTGCTTCCTGGAGCTGAGGGTGTGCAGCATCCAGCGCAACCGCTCAGCCTGCCGGGTGCTTCGGGCTGGGCAGGCTGCGACGTTGGCCCTCGGAGACTTTGACCGCGCCCTCCTTCGCAAGGTGAGGGGATCAGAGGGCAGGGAAGTGCTGGGAGCTGGCTACTGACAAGGGCCACCTGTCTGAGCTACCCAGAACAACTCAAAGGAATGCAGGCCCTGACCCTAGAAGTTTAAGGTCTGGTTACACAGACCCATGTGTGAAAACACTCAACCCTCAAGAAGCCCAGATGGCTGTCTGAATCATTGTGGTGCAAGTCAAATGCCCAGGACCCTAAAACCACAAAGCTTTGGCAGGCAGAGGACATGGGAGGTTAGTGAGGGTGCCTTCCTAGAGAAGTCTGGAATGTTGTCTTCAGAGGCCTCTGGGTTGGGAGTCATGAAGAATAATTCAGGAGCTTCAAGGGTGTGGGGAGACCAGGAGAGAGGGTCTGACACCAGGTCTGCCTGGGGACCGTGCCTCCCTAGGGCATGGTGATGGTGAGCCCCGAGATGAACCCCACCATCTGCTTAGTGTTTGAGGCAGAAATAGTCCTACTGTTCCATGCTACCACCTTCCGACGAGGATTCCAGGTGACAGTACACGTGGGCAACGTACGTCAGACAGCTGTGGTGGAAAAGATCCATGCCAAGGTAAGAGGGACCCACCCATGCCTCACTTCTCCAGGAGAAAGTCAGAACTCTGCCTCAAGAAAAGTAGAGGCCTGAGCTCAGACTTGCACAGAAGTCCCTGTTCCCACGGAGGGACAGAAGCCCGCTTGGGGGTACGGGCAGCAGTCCACACAGAGGCCCTGAGGGTGGACAGTCAGGGTGGTAGGGATGCCATGGGAAGCACTGCCTAAGCAGTGTCCACTTCTCTGCTTCAGGACAAGCTGCGGACAGGCGAGAAGGCAGTGGTTCGTTTCCACTTCCTGAAACACCCGGAGTACCTGAAGGTGGGCGCCAAGCTGCTGTTCCGGGAAGGTGTCACCAAGGGCATTGGCCATGTCACTGATGTGCAAGCCATTTCAGCAGGTGAAGCCCAGGCCAATATGGGCTTCTGAGTCCTCCAGGCAGGGCAGCTATTGCTGTTCCTACAATACATAAGGTGACTTCCGGCCAAGCTGCCCCCTAATGGTGGCTGTGTGTAATAGGCTAGGGAAAGAGGGGTGCTGCCGCCTGCTTCCCGCCACCTTTCTGGAGAGGTGTCAGGCTTGGTGAGGCAGGAAGGGCAGTCCTGTGGGAGAAGACTGAATTGAGGGTAGTGCCCAGCTGCTGTCTGCCCTGGCAACCCTGTGGCCTGCCTACTGGAAGGAGCTAACTATAGCCACCTTGGCCCCACTATCAGGACTGGCTGTGACTTACCAGTGTGATCCTTGCACTTCAGGAATTGTCACAGCTGAGGTGGCCCTTGAAAGTGCTTCCTTTTCTATACCTCTTCTCAAGGCCATGTAAGTTGCCCATTTCTGACTGTGAACAAAAGACACTGAATAGCAGTGCTCCCACATAAGCTGTGCTGAGACCCAGGGTCTGTTCCTCAGCTTTATTTCCTGTCCCCAGCTCCTCCTGTCACAGGCCCCACAGGTGCTACTTGTCATGCTGGCCCAGGTGTGGGGCTGCTGGGCTGAGGCCTGGCATACAGAAGGCCAGCTGCATGTCACTGTCTCGTCCTTCCCTCTGCAGTTGTCTTGTCGGCCCTCATCAAATAGTTGTACCTTCTCAGACTGGTGTCTGGGGGATCTGACCCACAGTTCCACACCCTTCCATCCTCACCCTACTTCCTCTTCAACATAAACCTCATTTTAGTAATTTGTAGTGCCTGTCCCCTTCCCTCTGTTGCAGGGAACCAGGAGAAAAGGGAAAGATATTACCCTATTTCCTACTCTTTCAGTACAAACTCCTCCTTTCCCTTTGTTAGTGTCCTGGGTTCCCACGGACTCAGGGATTTGTTGATTGAGGTTTCTCTGCAAATATATATATATATATGTATATATATATTTAAATACACATATATTGTACAGAATAAAAATGTTTTATTGAATACATTGTGCTTATGCTTAAGACCAGATTCACTTCCAGAGCTGGAGTCCTCTGGGGGATTAGAGACAGGTGAGACCAACTGTTACCGAGCCCTGAATAGGGAAAGAACTCATCTATTACCCTGCTCGCCATTGTGTCCCCACCACAGGATCAGTGCTCAGTCTGTGTACTCCTGCCTGTCAGGCATAGTTCTTTGAGGGAGCAAAGCAGAAAGTGAAACAGGCCTTTTCATCTCAGATAAGCAGCCACTCTGTATTTGAGTTGGCCACTTGTCAGTTACAGAAAACATGACATTTTGAGTTCTAACTCTGACAAAAGAAATAGCATGATAAATGTGGCCCATGGTCCTGTGTGGCATTCACCACCACTCAGAATCAGCTGCTTTTAGAAATACCTGTGCTGTAGCTTGCTATGAAGAAGCCTGTGGCTGAAGAACTCCTTCCTATATGAGAAGCAGAGTGCTTCCTTCCTTCTCTGCAGTTGCTGGTAAATGGCAGTGAGGAAGGAACCAAGAAGGTACTATGGCTGTCACCCAGCACTGACCTTTGCATGCCTGTCCACTGACAGACTCCACTAGTGTGCTGAGCAGGGCTGGTGTGCTGCTCACACTGCCCTTTTGTTCACTGCTGGCCACCCTCCCACCCACATGCTCTACCAGCTTGGCCCTCTCCAAGTCCAGTGAACCTGACTTCCAACCACATTACTTTTGTGTAGAGTTCCCTCATGCCAGTCAGCCCAACTGTCAGGAAGTATTCAACTTTTATCTGTGGAGCAGCTGAGAAATGAATGCTTCACTCAAAGCTTTCTGTTTATGTATCTTTTCCCTCAATTACAAAAGCCAATGTTGGAAAAAAAATCCCATCTCAGTATCGAATGAGACTCCTCCAGGAATTACTGAGCCACTTTGCCACATTCATAGAACATTTAGGGAGAGTATCTAAGGCAGGGCCTCAAGGAGTGTGTACATTTTTATTGGTCATCAGATCTAAATCTGTCTTGTTTTACATTCAACCAAGGAATGCTAAGTACTTCTTATGTGCTGGGCACCATGAACCATTCCTCCCTGTAAGAAGCTACAAATCTAACAAGGAAAAGCTCATGTACACAGTGATTAACATCTTTTTAAGTGCCATAAAACTGGGAAATATTTTCAAAGGAAAAAATAATTTCCTGCTAGGTCCAGTAGCTTCTGTCCTTCAAATTAAATATAGTCCTGCAATTTATAAATGTGCTAAAAAGCTGCTGCTTTGTATGAGAAGAGGGTTACATGTACACCATTCCCCCCACTCATGTAACATACCCACACATTGCTTAGCTCTTCATTTGGTTCCAGGTATAATTCAAGGCTTCTCTTATCAGAGAACCCCAAAAAGCTGACTTCTCACACATAATGGAGATACTAAAGATACAGTACTAAAGCCGGACACAGTGGCATTCAAGTATAATCCCAGCATTCTGGGAGGCTGAAACAGGAAGATTTCAAGGTCCAGCCCAGCCTGGGCAACTGAGACCCTGTCTCAAAAAATTAAAGGGCTGGGGATGGAGTTCAGTGTGGAGGCCCTGGGTTCAATCCCTAGTATCCCCATAACAAAATCAAATAACCCAAAACAGTACTAGTACTGGGACTACAGATCAGTGGAGTACTTGCCTAGCATGAACAAAGCCCTGGGTCCAACCTCCCAGGACCACAAAAATCAAAATGGTACTAACAGATGTGAACAAGTGCCAAAAGCTACCGTAAGATTCAAAACTAAGCTCAACGTTCGTACTCCAGTGTGGAAGAGAACACACCAGGGATCCCAAAGTCCCAAGCACTTACTCTGAAATTTGTGCTTTGGGCTTCAGGAAATGTCCTGTCTTCTCCAAACCTGGCCTCTAGGAGCTTAGAGATTGGGTTTCTAAAAGTCGAAGACACATGAGGAGGTCCTATAAATGTGCAGATTCTGGTTCTTCCCAGCAAGTCCTCTAGCAAGGATGGCGCTGCTCCAGTTCAGAGCATGAAGTGGTCTCATTCTATATCAGAACACGCAGGGGTAGAAAATACAGAATTCTGATCATGGTGTCATCTGACCTGCCTGTCACAGAGCTAGGATATTTTTAACCATCTTTTAGTCAATTCCTTCTCTGTGCCATCTTTAAGTGAGGCATTTCATACATCCTTTTAAATCTTCAGTAATCCAGAAGGTGATGATCTCAGTCCACAGAGGAAGAAGTGAAGAAAATGATCACACCATTTTGGGAACAAGAAGCAGAGGGATGCTTGGAACCAGGTCTCTTGGGCTCTAGGCCCATGTAACTTATCTGACACAGCCTCCCTAAACTCTGAAGATTAAAAATTCAAATGAATTCCTTAGCAATTCCTGGTTTGTTTGGGTTTTTTGGGGGGTTTTTTTGGTATTACAAATATCATTGTGGGCTAGGGATTTAGCTCAGTGGCACCACACCTGCCTTGCAAGCACAAGGTCCTGAGCTCGATCCCCAGTACCGGAAAAAAAATTCATCGTTATGGATATCCTTAAATAATGAATGTATTTCCAACTCCTGGGTTACAGACAAAATATTAAAACCCTACAACAAGCCTGAGGGTAGCATTAATGTGTTAATGGTTTAAAAAATGATTCCAATGTCTGCATGCCCTCGGGACGGGGGCGTTTATTACTACAGGCCAAGGGGCTCTTGGGGTCTCTTTTCTTTTGAGGAGATGCAGCTGGAACAGCCTGGGGGGTTGAGGACTGAGGCTGCAGAAAGGATTTCTGCAATTCCAATGCAAAATGATAATCCATATGTTCTGGCATCTCCCACACTGGAACCAGGGAGCCGCACTTGTCACAGGGCAGCTGGTCCTCAGCAGCTAAAAGACAAGAGGTAGCCACTGCCTTTGGGGCCACCTCCAGAGACTGGAGAGCTGAAAAGGCAGGCATGGCTAGGCTGTTGTGTGTCAGATCCTCCTCTGTAGAAACTGCCTTAGAGGAGTCTAGCTTCAGCGGTTTGTCACAAACAGGGCCTCTCTCCAAATGCTCTGTTGGAAAATAGTTAGGTGACCCTTTAGAGTTGGCCTGTGAGTTTTGTGGATGCAAAGATACTGAAGAATTACTGGTCTGTTTCTGCTTTAGAAGCAGACTTTTCTGCTTAAAGAAGGGCTCTATACCCGTTGTCTTACTGGTCTGGAAAAATAAAGGGGGCTTGGATGACGACTTGCTCATGGGTGTCTGGGTAGCAGCAGTAAGTGATGAACATGAAGCTTGTTTGGCTTTCTGCTTCTCTGCAACTTTTTGGAAGAATGATTCCAGAAAGGTGGTTGCTTTCTTGGTGGCTGTCACTGCTGGGTCACTTCCCTGGGTCTTAGCTTCCGAGCTGGTGACTGGCACCTTTGGCAGAGAACTTGAGTCACCACTCAGGAAGGCAGTGATGTCTGTGCAAGATCCAGGGCCAGAGACAGAGAACTTCGTAGCACAGAGGAAGAGCATCGTGAGAGGAGGGGACCTGTATAACAGAGAAGCAGAGATTAGCAACAGATCACTGTTTCAGAGACATGATTCAGTTCACAAATGACTGGGGTTCTGGGTCAGGCTCCCAGAACGCTAGGATTTCTGGTGTGTACCACCATGCCTGGCTCAGTGAATTATTATAAGTAAAGACCAAAGGCTCCAATTTTAGAGACCCCATCAAATCACAAGTGTCTTGCCAGGTGATGACCATTTTTTGTTTTGTGATTTTTTTTGAGATAGGGTCTCACTTTGTAGTTCAGGCTGGCCTTGAACTCACTGTATAGCCCAGGCTAGATCTGATCTCATGGCAATCTTCCTGGCTCAGCCTCTTGTGTGCTGAGATTACAGGCATGAACCACCATGCCTAGCAATACTTTAAAAAAAAATGTAACAGGTTATGTTAAATAAATAAAGCATTCCAGTCCTAAAAATCATCTAGACAGAAAATGAACATGCCCCCAAATCAGGCTTTACCATATTTTTGGTTATATTTCACGACTAACAGAGAGGAAGTTTATGAATATATTTGGTATAATACAAGTGGAGCTTGTAACTGAGCTGAGATGGTAGAGATTATCAATGAATAATGGTCACTTTTGTAAGTATAAAAGATGCTGTTATGGCTTGTGTTTAGATGTCCCCCCAAAGCCTCATGCAGTCATAGGTGGGGCTTTTCAGAGGTGGCTGGATCTAGAGTGTGTGATCCCTAGGATTAAGTGTATGATGCTGGAATCAAGGGTGTGTGTTTACTAAATTAGTCTACTGATTGGTTTGGCATAGTTGTAGGTGTGGATAATGAGAAGGCTTACCCTGGGCATGCAGCCTGGATAAAACATGAGAGAAAGAAGGGTTGCTGCTTGTCGCTTGCTGCTTTGCTCATCTTTTGCTGCCTTGTTGACTTCTACCTGGTATGAAATGTTTCTCTACCATGCCACCCTACCTTAGAGCCAGCCAACTATTGACTGAAGCTCAACAATTTGTGAGCCAAAATAAACCTTTCCTCCTTTAACTTTGGGCATCAAGTATTTTGTCTCAGCATTTAAGATGGAACAATCAAGTAGTTGAGAGCCAAGTTCCTAAATGTATTCTGGGAACTTGAGCTGTATTCTCCAAGTACAACTGATGAAGGCTGAGACAGTACTGATTCTCTGCCTTTGAACCTGCCCTGGGGAGCTGGAAGGCACCAAAGGGAGGCCAGGAAGCTGTATCTGAGAACTTTGTTTTGTTTTGTTTTTTTGGTACCGGGGATGGAACTCAGGTCCTTGTGCTTTCGAGGCAGGCGGCGGAACCACTGAGCTAAATCCCCGGCCCTGTATCTGATAACTTTGTTTCTGGGGTTACTATTTTCGCCCTTAGTGACCATTTCCTTCTGTAATTGGTGCTGCTAGTCCAAGTGACAAATTGCCCACCCTGGCTGAAAGAGTCAGGAAGCCCACTAGCTTTAGCGCTCAAGGCATGCATTTCTTCCGAGAAGATCAGCTAGAAGCTTCACCATTCAGTCTGGATTCCAGAAGTGTTACAGTTCCTGATGACAGCAAATGCATCCTGGCTCATCTTGTAAGCATCATAGCGGGTGAGGGCACAGCAGCGGCGCAGGCTGCTCAGACGTTTGTCTCCTTGTACACGGATGCTCACAACCAGCTGGGTGGCCACCCTGTCATTCTGTGGGTAGAAAAAGGTTAAGACTAAGATAAAGTTATCTAGAGCATCTGGGTTCTATATAATCAAGTACAGAAGGAGTTAAAATCAGGGTGACAGAATGGTTTGGAAACAGTAAGTTTAAAATCCAAGGCTATAAAGTTAGTAAGCAAAGAATGCAACTTTATTCTAGTGCCTATATAAACTACAAGTGTATACTGAGTGCTGAGGGTGCACAGGACTCAGTTGGGTACTGGGAGGGATGCAAAGACAATTCCTGTTTTCCTATTTCTTATACATTAATAGTACAGATTTTATACTATAGAATCACATTTTCTGAATAAAAAATAGCTCAAAATGTTTGTGCTATTTTTGGAAGAACTGAGCAAGACATAATTTGGGTGATGGAACAGTAAAATATCTAGGCCATGTTAACAGATGATGGAAATAGAACAGAATAAATGAAAATGAGACCTTCCTGAAAGTTTTCTTACAGTGTCTAAGCAAGAAGATTATAAATTGGACATGGTAGTACATGCCTGTATCCCAGCACTTGGGAGGCTGAGACAGGAAGATCACGAGTTTGAGACTAGCCTGAACTACATAGTGAGACCTTGTCTCAAAAAAAAAAAGACGATTTTTTTTTTTTTTTTAAACACCTACCATACCATATTCTATTTTGATTCTGTTACTGAAAAAAAGGTCTAGGAAAGTACTTGTCTGAAAGCTAGAATGGCACAACTGAATAATGGTCTAGTTTTCAGTCAGGGCTTTTGTGCCAGTGCCCTTATCCATACAGCAGAAGTGCCCACCAGCACCTCCTCCTCAGTCCTCCATAGAGATGTCACTGACGTTTCCACACCTGAGTTCTGCTGACGCTGATGCTCAGCAGACTGAAAAGTCAAGAGGTAGAAATGTAAGGAGGTGAAAGGCTACCTGAGGATCCCCTCAAAAACCAAAAGATGGGCCAGGGATTTAGCTCAGTGGTTCTGCCACCTGCCTCAAAAGAACAAGGTCTTGAGTTTGATCCCTGGTACAGACACACACACAAAAAAACCCCAAAAGATGCAAGGAGAAGAAATGCCTGAGGCAAACAATCCAATGAGCACAACTACTTTGGGGAAGAGAATCCATCTGTGGAGACTTCTGTATCTTTTTTTTTTTTTTTCTGGTCCCGGGGATCGAACTTGGGTCCTTGTGCTTGCACAGCAGGCGGCGGAAACCACTGAGCTAAATCCCCGGTGAGACTTCTGTATCTTGACAGAGTATAAACTGGCAATCACAAAGGAGTCCCTGTTCACAAAGCCATCTTTCTTTTGGTTTTTTGAGACAGGGTCTTGGTTTATAGTTCAGGCTGACCTTGAACTCACTATGTAGCCCAGACTGGCTTCAAACTTGTGGCAATCTTCCTGCCTCAGTCACCTGAGTGCTGAGACTAAAGGCGTGTGCTACCACACCCAGCTCAAAGCCATCTTTCTAACACTAGCACCTGACATGCATCTCCGAAGTAGAGACAAAGCTGAGAGAGGCAGGAGAGAATGGGATAAAGGGGAGACCTTATAGCCCTCATGTGGTAACAGGAGCTGCAAACAATAAACACAAGGCAGGGAAGTATAGTGGAAATGATGGGGGCCAGGCATAGCTGACCGAAGCTGCTTCTGTAAGGATTCAAGGGAAGCCTCTGGGAGCGGCATCCAAGCAGGGAGCAAATGCAGGCAGAGGGGTCAAAACTCCTGGCGCATAGGCACAGCAGTGCAGAGGTACCTGCTTTCCTGGTGTTAGAGAAGAGGAAAGGGGGCATGGGCTGAGACCAGTGGGGTGGGGTGGGGCAGGGAGCCAAGGTGCAAGTAGACTCATGGTGTTAGAATGGGAAATCCTCAGCATGGCTTCCGTGGGAAGGGAAGTCACTGGAATGTTCTAACAGTGATGTCACAGAATCTGCTAGGCTATAAAGTCCTCTGAAGCTTAAAGATACATCCACCTCCAGGAATCCCCCTGTACCTCACTGGCTATTAGGTGGGGTGAAAGGCCACTACTTATTCAGGGTTGCAGGAGAATTGTAATGAGAGAGATGGGGCAGAGACAGACTGCAGGTTCACAGAATTAGGCTTTCAAAGACTAAGTTGAGTTTTATGACTATGTTGAAAGATTTCTTAAACTGTCCCAGGCTGATGCCTTTTTTATATTTTTATTTATTTATTCTTTTTGAGACAGGGTCTCGCTATGTAGTTCAGGCTGGCCTTGAACTCATGGCAATCCTCCTGCCTCAGCCTCCTCAAGTGCTGGGAGCACCACGCACCACCATGCTCGGCTTTTTTCTATTTTTGTTCCTACTCCACAAAGTTAAGCAGTTTAAATTCTAAAACCAGGGCCGGGGATTTAGTTCAGTGGTTCCACCGCCTGCTTCGCAAGGGCAAGGACCTGAGTTTGATCCCTGGTACCAAAAAAAAAAAATTCCAAAACCAGCCTGGGTGTGGTGGTACATGCCTGTGATCCCAGCACTCAGGAGGCTGAGAAAGGAGGGTCACAAATTCAAAGCCAGTCTGGGCTATATAGTGAGATTTTGTCTCAAATAAACAAACAAAAAAATCCCCAAAAACAAATAAATAAAAGAACAACAACATAAATTCCAAAACCCACCCCAGAAATAAAGAGAACCTTACATCACTCTGGTCTTTGGTCAGTCTTTCCTCCAGTTCCTGGGCTAATTGCAACAGCCACCACTGGACCTAAAAAGGTATTGCAATATTAATCTTTCACTTAAATCCACTAGGTTTCTTATAGCACTAGATAGTGGATTTTCTCAGTTCTAACCCAAAGGGATCTGTGTACCAATGACTCCCCGATAATCAAATCATCAAAATCAGTACTGTCCTGCCCCAGTCCAAGTTAACTTTCTTTTCCTGCTGGCATGTCATCTTGATGCATTTCCGCCTCCTTCCAGCACTAAGAAAATAAAGACCTCAAACTGAGGCATAATATCCCAGGCTTTCCTAGTTTCCAAAACCTGCTTGCTGTGTGTGGTGGCTTACACCTGTAATCTTAGCAAAGGGGAGGAGGAATCCCTTTGAGTTCAAGGCCAGCCTGGGCTACATACCAAGACCCTGGCTTTAAAAAAATGTTTCCACCTTCCAAAAAAATTAGAAACTTTGGGCCAGGGATTTAACTCAGTGGTGCTGCATCCTGAGTTCGATCCCCAATACCCCCCCACCCCCAAAAAGAGAAACTTTAATCAATTCCATTTATTTATTTATTTTTGGTACCAGGGATCAAACTTAAGACCTTGAGCTTGCAAGGCAGGCAGTGGCACCACTGAGCTAAATCCCCAGCCCCCATTTTATTTATTTTATTTTTGAGGGGGTGGGGGTACCGGGGATGGAACTCAGGACCTTGCACTTTTGAGGCAGATGGCAGAACCACTGAGCTAAATCTCCGGCCATTTTATTTATTTTTGAGACAGGACCTTGCTATGCTGTTCAGGCTGGCTTTGAACTCAAGGTGATCCTCCTGCCTCAGCTTCCCAAGTACTGGGATTACAGGTATGTATTACCATGCTCAGCTTATTTCTTTTTAGTTGGAAGAAAGGAAAAACAAAGTAAATCACAAGTTAAACTAATAAATTTCAAAACAAAACATAAACTGACCTATCAACCCTCAAACCAGACTTGGGGACATACGCCTGTAATTCCAGCACTCTGGGAAGCTAAGGAAGGAGCATCACAAGTTTGAGCCCAGCCCAGGTAACTTAACTTGATGACTTAGTGAGACCCTGTCTCAAAACAAATTAAACAAGAAAACCCCCAAATACCTTCCACAGCTACCAAAATCTATCCACTAATCCCTTTAAAAAGAGTTAGCAATGACCTGGGCATGATGGCACATGTCTATACTCCCAGTTACTCAGGAGGCTGAAGCAGGAAGATTCTAAGTTTGAGGCTAACTTGGGCAACTCAGTGAGACCCTGTCTCAAAATAAAAAAGGGCTAGGATGTAGCTCAGAGGTACAGCTCCCTGGGCTCAATCCCATATCATATACACACACACAAAAGAGGCAGTGTTCTCAAGATGGGCAGGTAGTTCAGTGGCATAGGCCTTGCCTAGCGGAAACAAGGCCTGGGTTCAATCCTCGGCACCACAAACAAACAAAAAAGGCAGTCCCCTGGCCAGACTGCCTGCTCACCTGTTCCCTAGTAGCCAGAGCTGTTTTTCCTGGGAAGTTCTTGCTACAGCCAATGGTTTTGGGTAGCTGCCTGGGTTTAACTGGATCATGTTCAATTCCTCGGCACATGGCATACAGCCAAGACCTAATAAAACCATCAAAAACAGTTTCAGGTGAAAGTAAATGATTATTCTTGCTAAACTAAATACACATATTATATCACCCTTTTATCCTTCTCATAACAAAGGAAAAATGTGTCCAAAATGAAAGTGTACCTGACCTCTGACAGAACCCCTGTCCTTCTCAAATGATTATAGTGCAAGATCCTGGCAAGGACAGTAATACTTTCTAAAGCCAACTTAACTGTATTTTGAGAAAAGTGCCAAGTAAGGCACTAGTTCATATTCCCAAGGTTTTTCATTTTCCCCCCATTTATTAGAACCTAATATACAAGGATTTTAAGGGAACATCAACAAATTACCATACATAAATAATGTAACAGTAATACCCCAGTTTCAAAGTAACAATTCCTATCGACTCCCCAGGTACACGAAAACATGACTCTAGATTAAGAGGCTACAGTGATCCAATTTTTTATTTTGTTTATTTTTGCAGCGCTGGAGATCAAACCCAGGGTTCTACCATTGAGGTACACTGCCAGCCTCTTTGACCTAGTACTTTAAAACAAGAAACACCAACCAGTGAAATTAGCTCAAGGAACAAATGTTAACCTAAAGATAGGTCTAGGTTTTACTAGACACTTTTGTCTATATCTGAACTTAGCATTTCCATAAAGGTTATGATTGAAAAACAATATAAATCACTTACCCATTCTTCTCTCCAAAATGATTCTGGAGCTGGGATTCAGTGAACTGGGTCAGTTCACCCATGTATTCTACACCTAGAACTTCAATGACAGAGGCTCCTAGCTTTCCTCCAAGACTCCGGCTGATAACAAAGGAGACAAAGGCATCATAAGTATCTAGTAATAGCAAACAGAACACATTGTTGCCTGTCAGTACCAGTGCAGGGAAGATGAGAGTATACACTAAGCCTTTAGATTCCTTATTTACTGAGAATTCAGATACTTTGAGAATTAGGACTCAGGAATAAAATTAACAATAGCATAAACCAAAGATCAGTCACTGATTATCTTTCTAATCAACTGAATAGAAAATTTTCAATTGTGTAAGACCTACTGTTCAATTTGAGGATTAAACTCCATGACTAGAACCTCTCCTACTTACTAAGGCTATGGTCACAAGTCTTGAGCCCAGCCTTGGAACACCCTGCAATTTGCCCAGTACCCACCTTGCCAACTGCTCCCATCGCTCAGTGCCAGCAGTGGGAACCAGTTCATGTCTGGTTCTCTACACTTTCCCCTTTGTCCAAAAACACATCTAAATCAGTGCTGCTTTACAGTTCTTGGCTAAGTCCACCATCATGCTAAACTTCAAAACAAATTCCCATGCTGGTGTCGTAAATCTCTCTCACATAGCTTTCTTCTTTGTGTGAACTTTGGTAACTAACTACCTGCACAATTCACTTAACACATACTCATATGAATCCTGGGACAGCATTTTTACTCTTGGTGTGAACTGTCATATTTTGTTTAACAATATCTTTAGTCCTTGTCAAGAACACACAACTGCTAGGCACAACTTATTCATTTAACTGGTTTCTTTCATGCCAACCCTGGGTGCAAACACCAGCACCACCAAAACAAACAAAAAAAAAGTCCAGAGAGAAGTTAAACATATAGCTAAAACTCAGTTCATTTTCAAAAATATCAGGATTAAGTGTCTTCATTAAGAAAAAAGTCTCAGGGTCAGCGATTTAGCTCAGTAGTTCCACTCCCTGCCTCAAAAGCACAAGGTTCCAAGTTCGATCCCCGTACCAAAAAAAAAGAAAAAAAGAAAAGTCTCAGTGTGCCGCTAGCTCCAATTTTTTCTGAGAAACAAAACAAACTATAACCAGAGAGTATCTTCATGGGGATATGAGTAAAACTAAGCTACTCCCCAAATACTTACATCTTACGAATAGGCATTTGGCTGAAGAGCTGTGGGACGGACCCCTGAGAGACCAGAGTCTGGCGGTTGGGCTTATTTAGTCCGCAGGCCAGTTTTGCCAGGACCTGGAAGCATAGAAAATATAAAAACCTTGGTACAGTCAACCCACCTACACAGAGTGGGTGAAAACACATACAACATGCATGCACCAAGGGTTGTAACTAATGGTTCCACATTAGAAACAAAATACAGGCAGAAACTCAAGAAATCTTTAAAATTTTATATTCCACAACATCTTTGGTGAAAAACATGACCCATTATCAGTGTCCTCACTGGTCTTCCTAGTCATTTTTCTTCCTCTATCTATCCCTTGAGACTGGTCCTCCCACTTCAAATTTAAAACACAGGAGCTATAGAAGAAACTCAGTATGCATTTGTCAGTGTGTTCATATGAAAATGTTAAATTTGTTTTACTGTACCCCACTGATTTACATTTCTTAGGGTTTGTTTTGTTTATGCAGCACTGGGATCAAACCCAGGGCCTTGTGCACAATAGGCTGAGTCACATCCACAGCCCAATTTCTTGATGAAAGGTTAGTCCTGAATTTCATACAGTATATCATAATCTAGTATCTATGATAGAGATTGGGCTCAAAATCTTGCTATTATAACACATTCCTGTCTACCAACAATACTTAAAAATGAAAAAAAAAATTAAACTCCTGAGAATTCTTTTAAAATAATAAGGCACTTCCCTGGTATCATTTGTAAATATTTGGTATAAAATATAAAATGCTTGATTCTGTGTTGCACATCTGGAATCCCAACACTCTAGGAGGCTGGGACAGCAAGTTTCCAATTCAAGGCCAGTCTGGGCAAATTAAGGACTTAGTGAAATCTTGTCTCAAAATTTTAAAAAGTGAGGAATGGGGAATAAGCAAAAGTATAATATACTGCTGAGGATTTAGCCCAATAGTGCTGTGCCTGCCTTGCAAGCGCAAGGTCCTGAGTTCGATCCCCAGTACCAAAAAGAAAAAAAAAAGTATAATATACTTAGGCAATTCCACATAAGAGAAAATAAGATAATACAAAAATATCCAGCAAGTGAAAAACAAAAGAAATAGGTTAATATATATAAAAGTACAAAGACCAGCCTCCTCCTTCCTATAGATAGTCATTAAGGAAATACTTTGGATGTTAACTATATAAAAAAGTATTTTCTGTAATTTTTCAGCCTGCCTCTTAGCAATGTTAATTCCTGTAAAAATATACTTAAGTTTTTATTTGGGCCTAAATATACATTTAGGTAAAAATACTTTCAAAGTATATGGGAAAAATATATATATTTTGGGGGGGGGACGGGGGACCTGGGATCAAACTCAGGTCCTCGAGCTCATGAGGCAGGCGGCAGAACCACTGAGCTAAATCTCCTGACCCTATATATATATTTTTTTGAGATAGGGTCTCACTGTGTAGTCCTGGCTGGCCATGAATTCAAAATCTTCTCACCACAGCTTTTCAAGTTCTGGGATTACAGGCATATCCCACCATGCTAGGCTTTATACATTAGTAATTCTAATTAAAAGAATCATACCACAGTGATATATGTGTACCCATGTATATAGTAGCACAGTCTGTAATAGCTAAATCTTGGAAACAGCCCAATTGCCCATCAATTGGAGACTGGATAAAGAAGATGTGGGTTTGTTTTTTTTTATAAAATGGAGTATT